AGACAGTGTCGGTTGGCGACCCCCAGGGGGAGAGCCTTCTCTGTTGGAGCCCCCACCCTCTGGAACGAACTACCCCCAGAGATCCGGGTGATTCCGGATCTCCCCTCCTTCCGCCGCGCCCTCAAGACATGGTTATTTCAGCTGGCAGGACTGGCCTAAGGGGTATTTTAAATTTGGTTTTTTAAATAATTTTTAAAAAAGAAAGGCCTATATTAATATTTTTATTTTAACCACATTTTAAATTTGTATATTGTATTGTTATTCCGTTTTAAACTGGCTGTAAGCCGCCCTGAGTCCACTAGGAGAAGGGCGGGATATAAATGTGATTAATAAATAAATAAATGACAAGGCTGAATAACCGATGAGATAGATGTGGAGAAGCTCAGCAGAACATCTCACTTTCTTCAGCCCTGGCTCTGTCCAAGTATTCGTGTGACACAAGTCTCACAATTCCTACCCTGCGTGGTTGATCCCTGTGCTAGTTGAGAATTCTGCACAAGTCCTCTTAATGGATCTGGAAGTGGCTGAGCTACTACCCACTGCTGAGCACTACCCACACCAGGACTTAATTTACACACCGCCTCATGCTGTCGGTCGTGAGCCTCTCATCGTAGGAACTTTTCCAGGGATAGTAACCCGTGAGGAACTTCCAAGCTTCTGATCTGACAGAAAGATCCAATCCCTACAACAAAAATAACATTCAAAAAGAAATGGAGGGAAACGGTGACCTTCAGGTTGCTTATTCTAGTGTGACCCCAGCCTCTTTCCCAAGCCACCAAAGGTGTGATTGCTACAGAAGGATTTCGAGTAACCATCCTAGATCGTTTTGCTCCAGAATCAACCATCTCATTACCGCCTGCCTTGGAGAAGTCTTCTTTTCTGCACCTTCCAGTTCTGTGTAGACCAGGGGTAGGCAACCTTGGCTCTTTTGTGACTCGTGGACTTCAACTCCCAGAATTCCTGCACCAGCATGGCTCAGCATGGAAACCTCTCCCTTTCCCCTCAGCATGGATGGCTCAGGAATTCTGGGAGTTGAAGTCCACGAGTCATAAAAGAGCCAAGGTTGCCTATCCCTGGTGTAGACCATCCCTTGTTTATGTTTGTGTGTTGGGGATGTGTTCTCCATGACCTCCGGAGCTTCCCATGTGGATTTATTTATCTCCTTGATTTGTGCCCCCAGCAGTCAACCAGATCCTTGCCAATTAATGAATGAAAATATATATACCATAGGAATAAAGCATCAGACTAAAAATAAAATAAGGAAATGCCCAAAATGACATACACACAAACCTGTCAATAACAGCAATCATCATCACAATCTTGATCATGGCTATCATCATCATCAATCATTCCAGAACATCAGAGTCACCTCCATGAAGACACTTTTAGATGTGGTTTGCTGTTGGTTTCTTTTAGGTGACCCAGTCCAGCTTTAAGAAGAGTATAGAACATGGCTTGTACTTGCAATGGTGACCTTTCCTCATGTATCTAGCTGCCTCCTTCCAATCCCTACGTCTGATGTATGGCTGGACATATTGAGCTTTGACAAATCCATTGCCTGGTTCCTGTGTCAGCGCAATTCAAAATACTAAGCCAGAGGTCCCCAACCTTCGGGGCACCAGGGACTGGTTCTGTGGAGAAAGGTTTTTCCATGGACCAGAGGGTGAGTGGTTTTGTGTGATGCCTGCATCCTACGGATGGGGCTTTGCTTGTTTGTGCGGGCCGGTAGCTGGCATGCTATGGCTGGTACTGGTGCACGGACTAAGCAATAAACAGCCAGCATGTAGTTTTAAGGCGTCTCTTTGCTTTGAGGGATCTCGGAGTCCTAGTGGACAATCACTTAAACAGGAACCAGGCAATGGATTTACAGCTGCCAAAAAAGCCAACACAGTGCTAGGCTGCATTAACAGAGGGATAGAATCAAGATCACGTGAAGTATTAAGACCACTTTACAATCCCTTAGTAAGGCCACACTTGGAATCCTGCATCCAGTTTTGGTCACCACAATGTAAAAAAGATGTTGAGACTCTAGAAAGAGTGCAGAGAAGAGCAACAAAGATGATTATGAGACTGGAGGCTAAAGCATATAAGGAACGGCTGCTGGAATTGGGGATGTCTAGTTTAATGAAGAGAAGGACGAGGGGGGACATGATAACAGGGTTCCAATATCTTAGGGGCTGCCCCAAAGAAGAGGGAGTCAAGCTATTCTCCAAAGCACCAGAAGGCAGGACAAGAAGCAACGGATGTAAACCTAGAACTAACTGACAGTTAGAACAATTAACCAGTGGAACAACCTACCTCCAGAAGCGGTGAATGCTCCAACACTGGAAGTTTTTAAGAAGAGACTGGACAGCCATTTGTCCGAAATAATATAGAGTTTCCTGCCTGAGTAGGGGGTTGGACTAGATGACCTCCAAGGTCCCTTCCAATTTTATTATTATTATTATTATTATTATTATTATTATTATTATTATTATTATTATTATTATTATTATTATTATTATTATTAATGCAAGGGGAAGAGATTGCTTTCAAAATTATCTCACCTTCTCTTCCCTTGCGGGATCTATGCTCATTTCTCCAACCTGGTTCCTCCCAGAGATGTGGGGACTACATTTCCCAGAATTCCAACTTTTGTCCATGCAGGCTTAGAATGTTGGGGATTATCCTCAGGATTCTAGGAGTTTTGACAAGCCTGGAGGAGAGCCATGTTTGGGAAGGCGACGATTTGCTCATAACCAGCCTGATGAAAATATCTGGCTTGGTGAAAACTTTCAAAGGATGCTTGGAGGAAGAGAGCAGCCATAGCTAACGTCATGCTTTCTCCAAAAATGGAATTCTACGTGCCAAAGGATAATTAAACCTCAGGAAGCAATCAAGCTATTTTGCCAGGAAAAACAGCGGCCAGCTTAGTGCCAACGGCAATTGCTGTAGGGCTTCCATAAGACAGACAAGAGAACATAGTTGTGGAAGAACTTGGCAATTTTGTTTTCTTCCAACAGAAAATAATAAAAAAAAAAAACACGACTCTAGGATTAAAAGAAACTTGGAGTGTTAGCTGAGTTTATCCAGACTATGAGGGTATAGAGCAGGGGTCTCCAAACTTGGCAACTGTAAGACTTGTGGATTTGACCTCCCAGAATTTCCCAGCCAGCCAAGGACCCCTGGCTTTCTCTCTTCCTCTCCCTCCTTCCCATCAAAAGGGAAGTCTTCTCATTGACCTCTTGGAGTTAGCTGGAAAAGAGGAACCTGACTCCAGGGTGAGATTCAGAATAGCACAGCCTCTTTAAGGAAAAGATGACCCTGAGTGAGCTTAACCTGGAGTCGAAGCATTATGGAGCCAAACTAGGTAACATCATCAGTGCTAGAAGGGAGGGAGTTTTGTGGAGAGGAGGAGGAGGAGGAGGAGGAGGACAATGACTGTGGGGCCCTTGATGCTTTCTTAATTTGGTTGTTTTCTTGCAGGCGTTTCATGAACCAAACTAGGTAACACCACAGTACTGATGTAATGTCTGCAAGAAAACAACCAGGTTCAGAGGCCAAAGGTCCCACAGTCCTCCTCCTCCTCGTCCTCCTCCTCCTCCTCCTCCTCGTCCTCCTCCTCCTCCTTCCCACAAACTCCACTCCCTTCTAGCACTGATGATGTTACCTAGTTTGTGTCATGAAATGTCTGCAAGAAAACAACCAAGCTCAGAGAGAGCCCAGGACTCCATCCCCATCCCCATCCCCATCCCCTTCCTTCTTCTCCTTCTCCTTCTCCTTTTCCTTCTCCTTCTCCTTCTCCTTCTCCTTCTTCTTCTCCTCCTCCTCCTCCTCCTTCTCCTCCCACTCTACTTCCTTCTAGCACTCCTCCTCTTCCTCCTCCTCCTCCTCCTCCTCCTCCTCCTCCTCCTCCTCCCACTCTACTCCCTTCTAGCACTGATGATGTTACCTAGTTTGGGTCATGAAACGTCTGCAAGAAAACAACCGGGTTCAGAGAGCACCAAGGGCGTCTCATAAATTAAGATTGAAGTATATAATACTGCAATTGCAGTTCTCAGCTTTTAATATTTTTCCCACTCTGGACATTTTTCTTAGTATTAAGTCGTTTAATTTGCCTTTGTTTTAGGGTGGTGGGCAGGAGGTGTTCTCGTTTTAGAAAATACTAGAGCTACAATGGCCTGTCTAGGTGTACTGCTTTTTCAAAACATTAATTGGACTGTGAGCCGCATTTTAACTTCTTCCTTTATTTACTTCCTTCTATTAAGGATACTTCTGTATGGCCCTTCAATCATTTCCACAGGCTATTGTCTTGTACAGTATTATTCCCCATCTGTCTAGGCCAGGGGTAGTCAACCTTGGCTCTTTTATGACTGGTGGACTTCAATTCCCAGAATTCCTGAGCCAGCTTAGCTCCACGAGTCATAAAAGAGCCAAGGTTGACTACCCCTGGTCTAGGCAGTGGGTAGCTCTGATGCAAAGAGAAGATAAATGGGATGAAAATGAATTATCTTTGGCAAGGCATAAAAAGCGACTTCTACAATTAAAAATGATCCTGCTCCTTCACATTAAAAGGTGGACAATTAAGCAGCTACTACTATTCTCCCTACCTGAAATTCTGCATTCCCAATAGACCTTGTTTCTCAATCCCTTGGATTCTCCCTGGAAAAGCAAATTCTCCTGACCTCAAATTGGCTGGAGAAATCTACTTGTACCACCGTTGAAAAGAACTCTGGGGAAGGATTTTTTTTTCTCCCCCTCTAAAGTTGCCCAGGCATCTGATCTCCATGGCAACCTCACCTTTCAACAGGAGAAAGATGTTTGGAGAAGGAGAACTATTGTGTTTTGCATGAATTAGGTGTTGGGAGACAGCTGGATCTCTAGTTGATTCTTGGCCCATTGTGTCAGTCAAAAAACTGTGTTTCCTCCGTGCAGAAAAATATGACGAATCCACGAGAAAGGGGACTTTCATATCAGAGTTCCCACCCCAGGAAAACTTCATCTTAAATTAGTTCCTTCAGGTGGAAAACTAGGAATCAAACCACTAAAGCAGAAATCCCACTATCTGATATGCTCCGGGGGGGGGGGGTTGTTATGAACTACAGTCCCCATGTGGCCTGTACAGCAGCCAGACTGCTTGTGGGAACTGACTCTTGAAAAACGCCCCTCTTGGGATAAGGCTGGGGGTCAGGTAAAAAGAGAGCCAATTGTAAAGAAGAGAATCAAGATGGACATTTTATCTTCTTCAGGTCCAACCACCACCACCACGTTCTCTATTGTTCTCCAAGGACACTCACCCTCTCCAAAATTTGGGAGGCCATGTAGTTTCGTGATTTGAGAATCTGTCCGCTCTCGTCGAAATAGCTTTCCCATTCAGCAGCATCGATGGGCAGTTTCTTGATCCCCTGAAACACAACATCGACATATTCCCATGAGGTCAGCAGCGAAAAAAGCACTGATAAAGTGACCCAGAAAAAATGAGAAGCGTGAGGAATTTCATCCTGGATGTTATTATCTGATAAGCTTCCCGGAGTCTTTTTTACATCACATTTATGATGAAACAGTGTAGGATGCCTTGTTGGTTCGTCTACCCCTCAGCTTTGTATGATGGTTCCTTGGAGGAGAGCTAAGCATTTTTTCCCCTCCCTTATTTAGCACACCAAAAGGTTTTTACACAGGCTGGAAGGAGACCTAACGAAGGAATAATTGGGGGGATTTTCACATTATGGAATAATAATAATAATAATAATAATAATAATAATAATAATAATAGTAGTAGTAGTAGTAGTAGTAGTAGTAATAATAATAATAATAATAATAATAATAATAATAATAATAATAATAATAATAATAATAATAATAGAAAGACTGTGGCAAAAGCAAGCAAGAGTAGTACCAATAGTAATAGGTGCCTTGGGTGCAATCCCAAAACAACTGGAGCACCACTTGAACACCATCATCGGCATTGAAAAATTCTCCATTAGTCAATTGCAAAAGGCGGCCTTACTAGGAACTGCTTCCATCCTGCGACAAGATACACAATGTTTATTGCGAGGATCTCTACACTGCAGACAAAGGCCATGGAAGGGAAGAAGAGCCGGGTGTAATAAAAAGGACAGATGTTTGAAGAAGAGATTTCACCTGGGAGATCCACGTGGACATTGTCTGAAACCCATGCAAGATCTTCATAACATGCAGTAGACTATTGGTGTGGAAGAGCCTATGGACATGTAGTCCTCGACTTATAACATTTCATTTAGTGGCTGTTTGAAGTTACAACGGCACTGAAAAAAATCACTTTTGACTATTGGTCACGCTTATGACTACTGCAGCGATCAAAATTCAGATGCTTGTCAACTGACTCATATTTATGACACTTGCAATGTCCCGGGGTCACGTGATCCCCTTTTTGTGACCTTCTGACAATCAAAGTCACTGTGGGGAAGCCAGAGTCACTCAACAACTGGGTTACTTACTTAACCACCGCAATGATTCGTTAACCACTATGGCAAGAAAAGCCGTAAAACGGGGCAAAACCAGCTTCACAAATGCATCATTTAACAATATGAATTTGGGGTGTGTGTGGCGTTTTGGTTGTACGTCGAGGGCTACCTGTTTCTATACACACAGGCCTATACATGTGGCTGCATTGTGCGTGAGCATCAATTGTGGCAAGGTGCGTTTTGACAGCTTTGTCGTGTTTCT